GGCCTCTCTCATCTTTTTAAGTGGGAGAACTTGCACAATTGGTGACTGACTAAATACTTATTTTCCCCACTGTATTAAAAACCTTGAACATTTATTATAAACCTAGAAAATGTATCGTAAACCTGGAAAAATATAAACCTGGAACATGTATTATATATCTGGAACATGGTAAATGGTAAATGGTACTGAACTTATAGAGCTTTATCAAGTCCCTCCAGACCCCAAAGTGCTTCACACTACACACATTCACCCATTCACACACATTCGCACAATGATGATGGTAAGCTACACCGTAGCCACAGCTGCCCTGGGGCACACTGACAGAGGTGGGGCTGCCATGCACCGGCGCCACCYGHRCCTCTGACCACCATCAGTAGGCAAGGTGGGTGAAGTGTCTTACCCAAGGACACAACGACTGAGATAGCTGGACGGGGGATTGAACCAACAACCTTCCAGTTCCAGGACGACTCCACCACAGCCGCCCTTAACATGTATTATAAAATATTATTATATTAATTATTATAAATGATAGGTGATGAAAAATAAGACTCCAGTGTATTTGCTGGAGATCTAATGCCCTCCCTCCTCCTCCTCTAACCCTAAGCCTGCATGTAACCAGTGACAGAAAGGTGAGGCTTACTGTGTGCAGATCATCCCTCTGTTACAGAACACTGGAACAGATAGAATCATAAACGACACCTCTGTATGTCCACAGCTTTTTCCTCCATCAGTAGAAGTGCTGCTTTGTGTCACCAGCTTTGGATTCTAGCAAGATTCCACACACTCAACTAGTTTACATCCAAAGAAACCTACATTACTAGATTACTGTTGTCTTTCTCAGAGTGTTCCACAGTCTCTCATAACAATGCTGTGGTTGGGGGTTGCACCAAGACGTCCCAGTGATTTCAGATCAGTGTGGTCTCATTACAGCAGGCTGTTAGTAATCCTCTGCCTTTGATGTTGACGCTGAAGGGAGCAGCACTTTTCTGTAGTTCAAACAGTGTTCTTTCTGCTCCCTCAGCACCTTCACTACGAGCCTCATGGTGAGCCTCAGTCTGATGGAGAACAAGCAGAGGCTGCTCTACCAGGAGCCCTGTGGTGGTGGAGGCGGTTCATCACCAACTTGTTGATATTTTAAACAAATTTTCCTCACACAGCAGCTGAGAAGCAGTCTCTGGTAATGGGCCACTTCATGGTCCAAAAGGTGGCATTGGAGACCCCATGTGACCAAAGTCAAATGCATTTCATCGCTTCCATACATCCAATCCTA